CACTGAACTGTGTATGTAGAAATTTTTGAAACGGTGTGTCTTTGGCTATGTGTATTTTCACCAAAAAAAAAAAAAAAAGGTTGAGAATTTAGAGGGTTGATATGTTGTGGGGTTGTTGACCAATGTCATGGAACAGCATGTGTGCTACTGTTTCATGAGAGAAAAAAAAAAAAAAAGCATCAGCTAAAACAATTGCCTCAAGAAAGTGGCAGATGGGGAGAGGAGAGACTGGTGTTTTTTGGAATTATCTTTGTAGAATTATTTGACTCTTTACATTTTATACATACAAATATTTGATAAGAATAAAAGAGGAAAAGAAAAATGAAAAAGAAATAGCAAAGTGGTTACTTAGACCTGAGGCAAATTACTTGCCTGGCCCACTCTATTCTTTAATTTCCTAACCAGGATATGAAAATGATATTAATACCCACTGTATTATGTAGGGAGTCCCTGGGTGGTGCAAATGGTTAAGTGCTGGACTACTAATCACAAGGTTGGTGGTTCAGACCCGCCCAGAGGCACCTTGGAAGTAAGCCCTGGTGATCTGCTTCTAAAGGTCACAGCCTTGCAAACTCTGTGGTGTGCAGTTCTACGCTGCACACATAGGTCGCCAGGAGTCAGCATTGACTTGATGGCAATTGACAACAAAATCAATTTGGAGGATTAAATAACATAATACGTGTATAGCATTTATAATGCTCCTAGTTGTAAATGTTATTTTATCATTGATTGTTATTTTTATTATTTGTATCATTATTATTATTATTATTAGAAAAAAATTATAGCATATTAGTTGGTTTTTATTTAAACGAATTTGTTCTTGCTGCTTAAGTAGGGATACAGTTCTTCCTGAGCAATTACACAGTAATACAACCTCAGCATATTTAATAATAAATTCTATTTTGCTATTTTCTTAAAATAAAAATGTGTTTTCTGTAATTGAACAGAATTATGTTTGAAGAATCTGAACGATTTATCATCTCTAAATTTGATAAAGATGGATGAAGATGTTAATTTCAAACCAACTGGTAATTTTTCCATCATTGTTAGTAAATTTAACAGTTGCTTACTTAAGAGTAAATTAAAAATTTGTTTTGCTAAAATTTGGATGATAGTAAAGTTAAATTGTGATCTCAGTTCTCTACAAGGTATCATCATTATTAGCTGTTAAAGCATGATAAGTTTACATAAGAGTCCTATTTATTAAATTATAAAGCTGCTTTTGACAGGCACAGAATTTTCCCTTACTAGTTCTGGTGGTTTTTTAGCAGAAGATTGAAATGTCCAAATCTTTGGGTTGCTTCAGACTTGTTATAACTCTTGTAGATATCCTTCTGCCAGTTCTTAATTATTCAAACATTGATTATCTGGATGGTTACTTAGGCTTCTTTTCTCTCTCGCTCTTTTTAATTCTATTTGGAGTATAATAGAAGAGAAAAAGAGCGCTTTGTAGTTTTTAGCATTGATAATTAGAAGTTTTGTGGGGTGTGGGGGAGATACTGACTTCATTATTCCAAATTAATATTTCCAATAAAAGGAACTTTACAGTATAAAAGTTCAGAAGTATAGAAAGGTAGGAAAAAAATCAGACTCTGGCTGTCTGTTAACATTTGGCATGTATCCGTTCATTTCTTAAAGCATTTTTTACATGCTTGCAATCACAGTTTTGTATCATGTTTTTGTATCAAGTACTATGCATGTATTATTGCATTTAATCTTCTTCACAACATAACCCCATATTACATTAAGAAACTAATAAAGTATGTCAAACATGATCACTTATCCAGTAAATAGGGGAATAAAGATTCAAACCAGGTATATTTAATCCCAACCTCATAATCACTATCTGTAATTATCAAACCATCTCTCTCATTACAGTGTTCTAAAGATAGTCTTTTTAAGTTTACTCTTTTGATAAGTAAGTCTTGATTTTTCCTGAGGTTTCAAGGGCTTCATTTCGTTTCTGCCAAGACATACAGTCATTTTTAAGACCGTTCTCAAGACCTGTTTTCTCTAGTAGGCCATCATACATTGACCATTCTCTTACATTTAATTTTCTCCATACTTAAGTTTGTACATGTAAATATTAGCATTACATTGATATTCCACTACTCGTCTGTCAGTTTGTCATACTGTGGTGGCTTGTGTGTTGCTTTGATGCTGAAAGCTACGCCACCGATATTTCACATACCAGCAGGGTCCCCTTTGGTGGGCAGGTTTCAGCAGAGCTTTCAGACTAAGACAGACTAGGAAGAAGGACCTGGCAGTCTACTTCTAAAAAAATTGGCCAGTGAAAACTTTATGAATAGCAGCAGAGCAATGTCTGATACAGCACCACAAGGTGAGCCCCTCATGTTGGAAGGCACTCAAAATAAAACTAGGGAAGAGCTGCCTCCTCAAAGTAGAGTCGACCTTAATGACATGGGTGGAGTAAAGCTTTCAAGACCTCATTTGCTGATGCGGCACGACTCAAATTGAGAAGAAACAGCTGCAAACAACCATTAATAATAATAATAAAAACATTGCCGTCAACTCGAATCCAACTCATAGCGACCCTATAGGACAGAGTAGAACTGCGCCATAGGATTTCCAAAGAGTAGCTGGTGGATTCAAACTGCCGACCTTTTGGTTAGCAGCCATAGCTCTTAACCACTGCACCACCAAGGCTGAATGTATGAAGTACAAAACTAAGAAAATTGGAAGTCATCTATAGTGAAATGGAATGCATAAAGATTAATATCCTAGGCATTAGCGAGCTGAAATGGACTGGTATTTACCATTATGAATCAGAAAAGCATATGATCTACTATGCCAGGAATGACAAATTGAAGAGGAATGGCATCACATTCATTGTCAAAAAAGAACATTTCAAGATCTGTCCTGAAGTACAACGCTGTTAGTGATGGGATAATAGCCATACGCCTAAGAGAATGACAAGCTAATAGGACTATTAGTCAAATTTACACACCAACCACTAATGCCAAAGATGAAGAAATTGAAGAATTTTACCAACTTCTGCAGTCTGGAATTGATCAAACATGCAATCAAGATGTATTGATAATTACTAGTAATTGGAATGCGAAAGTCAGAAACAAAGAAGGACAGGTAGTTGAAAAATACGGCCTTCATGATAGACACGATGCTGGAGGTCGCATGATAGGATTTTGCAAGACCAACGACTTCTTCATTGCACATGCCTTTTTTCAACAACATAAACGGCAACTGTAAACATGTACCTCATTGGATAGAATACACAGGAATCAAATCAACTACATTTGTGAAAAGAGACAATGGAGAAGCTCAATATCATCAGTCAAAACAGCGCCAGAGGCCGAGTGCAGAACTGACCATTAATTGCTCACATACAAGTTCAAGTTGAAGCTGAACAAAATTCAAACAAGTCCACAACAGCCAAAGTACGACCTTTAGTATATCCTACCTGAATTTAGAGACCATCTGAAGTATAGATTTGACCCATTGAACACTAATGACTGAAGACCAGACGAGTTGTGGAATGACATGAAGGACATCATACATGAAGAAAGCAAAAGGTCATTAAAAAGACAAGAAAGAAAGAAAAGACAAAAATAGATTTGAAAAGACTCTGAAACTTGTTTTTGAATGTAGAGTAGCTAAAGCGAATGCAAGAAATGGTGAAGTAAAGGAGCTGAACAGAAGATTTCAAAGGGTGACTCGAGAAGACAAAGTATTATAATGAAATGTGCCAAGACCTGAAGTTGGAAAACCAAAAGAGAAAACACGCTTGGCATTTCTCAAGCTGAAAGAACTGAAGAAAAAATTCAAGCCTTGAGTTGCAATATTGAAGGATTCTATGGGAAAATACTGAACGGTGCAGGAAGCATCAAAAGAAGATGGAAGGAATACGCAGAGTCACTGTACTGAAAAGAATTGGTCGACATTCAACCAATTCAAGGGTAACATATGATCAAGAAGTAATGGTGCTGAAGGAAGAAGTCGAAGCCGCACTGAAGGCATTGGCGGAAAACAAGGCTCCAGGAATGGATGAAGTATCAATTGAGATGTTTCAACAAACAGATGTAGCGCTGAAAGTGCTCACTTGTCTATGCCAAGAAATATAGAAGACAGCTACCTGGCCAGCCCACCAGAAGAGATCCATTTTACGTGCCCAATCCAAAGAAAGATGATCCAACAGAATGCAGAGATTATCAAACAGTATCGCTAATATAAGACACAAGTTAAATTTTGCTGAAGATAATTCAAAAACAGTTGCAGCAGTACCTCAACAGGGGACTGCCAGCAATTCAAGCTGGATTCAGAAGAGTACATGGAATGAGGAGTATCATCACTAATGTCAGATGGAGTTTGACTGAAAGCAGAGAATACCAGAATAATACTGTGTTTTATTGACTATGCAAAGGCATTCGACTGTGTGGATCATAACAAATAGGGATAACATTGGGAAGAATGGGAATTCCAGAACACTTAATTGTGCTGAGGAGGAATCTGTCCATAGACCAAGAGGTAGTTGTTCAGACAGAACAAGAAAATACTGAGTGGTTTAAAATCAGGAAAGGTGTGCGTCAGAGTTGTAGCCTTTCACCATACTTATTTAGTCTGTATGCTGAGCAAATAATCTGAGAAGCCAGACTAGATGAAGAAGAATGTGGCATCAGGATTGGAGGAAGACTTATTAACAACCTGCAATATGCAGATGATACAGTCTTGCTTGCGGAAAGCGAAGAGGACTTGAAGCATTTACTGATGAGTTATCAAAGATTACAGCCTTCAGTATGGATTACACCTCAACATAAAGAAAATAAAAATCCTCACAACTGGACCAAAAAGTAACATCATGATAAATGGAGAAAAGATTGAAGTTGTCAAGGATTTCATTTTACTTAGATTCACAATCAACACCCATGGAAGCAGCAGTCACGAAATCCAACAACATACTGCATTGCTCAAATCTGCTGCAAAAGACTTCTTTAAAGTGTTGAAAAGCAAAGATGTCACTTTGAGGATTAAGGTGCGCCTGACCCAAGCCATGGTATTTTCAGTTGCCTTAACTGCATATGAAAGCTGGACAATGAATAAGGAAGACCGTAGAAGAATCAATGCCTTTGAATTATGGTTTTGGCAAAGAACATTGAATATACCATGGAATGCTGGAAGAACAAACAAATCTGCCTGGAAGAAGTACAGCCAGAATGCTCCTTTGAAGCGAGGATGGCAAGACTTTGTCTCATGTATATGGACATGTTATTAGGAGGGACCAGTCCCTGGAGAAGGACATCATGCTTGGTAAAGTAGAGGGGTCAACAAAAAAGAGGAAGACACTCAACCAGATGGAATGACACAGTGGCTGCAACAATGGGCTGCAAGATGATTGTGAGGATGGCGCAGGACCGGGCAGTGTTTCCTTCTGTTGTATATAGGGTTGCTATATAAGTTGGAGCCGACTCAGTGACATCTAACAACATGAAATTGATTTTGTCCTCTAGTCTAGCTATTTTATATGTTATTACCTCCCTAGCCAACCGATAAGTTCCAAAGACTGTGTCTTCTTCATTTTTTATCTGTCTTTTGTGGCTGGTGCCATTAAGTAAATGTTTGTTAAACTGATGAAAAAGCAAGTTATGTCAGCTGATGGGAGTGATGTTAATTTGTCCGTCTTTTCCCACAGAGATTGGAAGATTGATGGCTTGGTATTATATTACATTTGAGACAGTGAAGAAATTTTGTACAATGAGTGGAAAAGAAACTTTATCAGATCTGGTAAATTAATTTTCACTATCAAATAAAAACATAATGATACAGAATAGAATAATATTGGAGAAACAACTGATTTGTGTGTTTCATGTAATTTAAGAATGAATGAACAGAAAGGAAAGCATTTCTAATAATGGCTATCTCTTCTCCATTTATACCTGAGATATGGAATATTTCTCTTTATATTTTCAGGTGTATCTCCTTATCAGAACTAACAAAATTATATACATACCCAAAGTAGGGATTGCAAGTAACTTTAGCTTATATGATAATGCTGATTACCTTGGTAGTGGCTGCCAAGTGTTATATGTTGAGAAAGATTCCAAGACCATGTGGCATGAGATGTCAGGGAAATCTAGCATGAGTGAGGGACAATGAGTTTTAGCATGTATGCTATGTATGTGCAACTCCTCCCCAAATCTTTTGCATCAGAATAGCAGTAGCATTTGAAATAGAATTGTATTGGTGATAGCCCAGAAAAAGAACTGATTGTGGAGAAAGTAGGAATAATAACAGGTATAAACAGTGGGAAAAATTTTGCAGCTATAGCAGTGAGTAGAACCATAGTCATACTGTTGGTACTTGGTGACCATATTGGTCCTTTCTCCTATTATTGGAGACATGAATATGAAGCAAGATATTTATAAAAGAAAATAATTATTTATTCTCAAATTTAAATAATATTTATTGAAAATATCTAAGTTTATTACTGTGGGTATTACACTAAAAATGTTGTTGTGTGCCATCGAATCAATTCCAACTCATAGCAACCCTATATGACAGAGTAGAACTTCCCCATAGGGCTTCCTAGGCTGTAATCTTTACAGGAACAGATCACCAGTTCGTTTCTCCCACTGAGTGGCTGGTGGGTTCCAACCGCCAACCTTTCAGTTAACAGTCACATGCTTACCCACCAGGGCACCTTACACTAAAAATAGCACAATAGAATTCCAGTTATTATTAAGAAGTCATATGAATGAAAATAGATTAAAAGAAGGTTTGTCTTTTCATGCAAATATTATTCTTAAATAAGAAGAAAATCAAGAGTAGAAAATATCCAATCATAACATTAACTCATCTGATCCTTTACAGCAGGTGTGGGATAATTAGAACAGGTGTTTGTTTCATTTTACAGATGTGGGAAACCAAAGCACAGAGAGTGCTTTGTCCAAAGTCATCTGGCAGAACTAGTCTCTAGAATTCAAATTTCTTGATATCTGAAGCATTCCTTCCATTAACAGATTAACTTCAATTGGGATAATGATTTGCAAACTACAGGTGATTAATTGTAGTAGTAATAGTAGTAACAAGAGCTGCATATAGTAAGAGTGCTTACTGTGTGGTAGGCATTGTGCTGAATATTTGAAATTTTACCTAATTAATCTTTACTGTATTACTGGTGTATTTCCAGTGTCTAGCACAGTGTCTGGCATATAGCAAGTGTTGACAAACATTTGTTAGTGAATGGATGAATCAAAGGTATAAGGCAGATTTTTAACACTGTTATGCTAATTGATAAAACTATGATGACCCAAGGCAGATGGAAAAACAAATAAATACTGAGAAAGAAGATGAGAGGAAAGAAGTGAAAAATGAACTTCATTAATTAGACAAATACTGAAATTTTATAGGTCACAATGATAGCCAGCTGCAAGGAATTTCTAGATGTCCAGTTAAGGATAAGTGAAAAGAAAACACTGAATACTTTGAACAAAGATCCAAATCGGGTAACTATCAGGTAAAAAAGTAAATATGTTTTAAATAATTTTTAAAAGCTTTTATTTATTTAAAATAAATAATAGTAAAGCTTTTGCTCTGTGTTTGTATTTACAGATTTCCGATGGAAGGAAAAATTAAAACAAGGGAAATGAAAGTAAATTGGTAAAGATAATTATTAAATATCTTAAAATACTCACTATAGATTCATGATTCTTATTTATAAAAGTTTTTAATATAGTTTAAAACTTATTTTAAATTTGTTTTCCTTAATAAAACAATAACATATTTACATAAAGTTAAGTAGTCTGAATGTACATGTGAAATTAACTTCCAAAAACTCTGACTTTAATTAAATTTGGTGATTTGTGAATTATTTTTTTTGTCAACAAGCATTGAGAGTGTGTTCTGTTGAGGTAAGGTGGAGGACAGAAAGAAGATAAGCTTCTCACCATCCATCAGGAATTTTCAAACTAAATTTCATGTATATAAAAATAATGGACAGTACAGAAACACATGTAAGAAATGTCTGTTGAGTGGTGATGGCATTCTGGGAGAGACACATAGTGAAAGCAAAAATGTGAATGTAGGAATGTATATATGGGATGATTATTTTGCCAGGAATGGAAATTTTGAATAGAGGAGTAGTCATTGGAAGAGTAAACTAAGGTTGCGCGGTAACATGGGACTTTTACTCAATTTGTAATCACAAATGCAACACTTTTCTTTTCTGCTGTGATAAATATTTGGGTTTCTGAGTACTTAGACTTTAGTTTTAGAATCTTTTGATTTAAAATTTAGACTCTTTTGATTTAAATGATGCACTTTCAGGTGATAATATTTTTTTTTTTAATGTGGCTCAATAAAACTAGTTAGCTAAAGAATATCTTTTTCCTCCTTAGCTAGAGGAGTTCATTCTTTCTTTGAGATACTTCCTGCCATCTCATTGAGTTTTATCTCCGAAATGCTTTAAAGTCTATGAAACAAACTTCTCACTGTTGTATACAACTTCATTAGACAGATCTCTCGGTTGGACACTGAAGTTAATCTTCTGTTTCTTAGCTCTATTTCTTTAGAAATTCAAATATCGTTAGAGATCATAGAGACGTTAGAGATCATATAGCCCAGTCCCCTCATTTTACACATGAAGTGAGTGATGCCCAGATAGATTGTGACTTGCCCAAGGTTATGTAGCTGTATGGAGGACCAAGCTAGAACTACAACCCAGGTCTCTTGATTATCTCAGTATTTTTTTTTCCAGTGTACTCTGTTGCACCAATTATTGAGTCCAATAAAGTCTAGTTTGTTTTCCCCAGACATCTTCTTGGGAACATTTTATTTGCAACTTCAGTGCTTCTATTAATCTTACCTTAAATTAGGTCATATACTCTTTTGATTGATGCTGTCAGATTTAAAAGTTGATGACTTTATAATTGTTTTCATACATATGCAGTTTCTACTATATAAATGGGATCATACTATACTTACTGCTTTGTGTTATATCATAAAGATCTTTCTATATCAATACACATACATGTCAACCTCATGTATTTTAATAGCACGTTTGAATATGTTATAACTACTCCCTTAATGATAAAAATTTAGATGGTTTCCAACTTTTTTTCTATTGCAAATAGTGCTGAGATAAATTTTCTTGTACATACACCATGTTTTCAAGGTTTTCTGGGTGAAAGATTATACATGTGCAAAAATTTGAGATATAATGCCAAGTTGCCTTTCAAAAAGTCTTCTCTGAGTTACGGTTGCCACCTGCAATGTAGAAAGAGTGACTATTTCCATACAGCTTCCTCAGTACTTGTTTTGTATCGTGAAACTTTTTACCGATCTGATGAGTGAAAAGTTATGTCATATTTTTAAATTTGAATTCTGTTAGGAGGGAATGTACGTATTACTCAGTTTTATTCAAAAATTTTAAATTGTTAAAAAATTGTACATTAAATTAGTCTATTCCTTTATGCTTCTAGGTTTTGTGTCTTGTTTGGGAAGATCTTTGCCATACTACATTTCTTAGGGTTAGGTTCAGCTACACAAAAACAATAATAAAATAACAATAGCAACAATATGCTATTTTTCCTCTCACATAATAGACAACTCAAGGTAAATAGTCTAAAGCAGGTATGGTGGTTCATGGTCTCATCAGTCTTTGGATTCCTCTTTCTGATCTGCTAGCCTAGCTCATGACTTCTATTCTCAAGGTTACCTCATTGTCCAAGATGACTGCTGGAGCTTCAGCCATTACATCTGAGTGCCCTCTCTCTTTTCAGTAAACTTTCTGTAAATCCTACATAAAACTTTTTTCATTGGGTAGGACTAGTCACATGGCTATATCTAAGTATTAAGGAGACTGAGAAATGTTTTGGTAACAGTGTGCCTAGATAAAAGTTGGGGTTCTGTTATTAAGAAGGAAAGGGAGAATGGATGTTGGGGTAGGCAAAGCAGTCTCTGCCATACATTCCAAGATTTTAGGACTTTTTTCCTATCATTTCTTCTAATTTAAATAATTTTATTTTTATCAGATTTTTCATAAGGTATGTGAAGTTAGTTTTTGTATGTGTTATGAGTTAAGAATCTAATTATTTTTTGTTCCCAAAAGATAGTCAGGGTTGTTTGATAAATGTGTTGTCTTTATCTGTTTGCTGACTTGAAATACCACCTTATCATAAACTAAATTCCTAAGAAACTGATTCTGGACTCTTATGTACTGTTAATCTATTTTCTGTTGCTGTGACAATACTACATTGTTTTACTTGTTATTTTATTGGACATTTTCTTATCTGGTGAGGCAAGTCTCCCCTTATTGTTCCAAAAAATGTGTTTGGCTATTGTTGCACGCTTCCTCCTATAAACTTTAGAATCAGTTCATTAAGGTCTATGAAAAGTCCTTTTGAAATTGACTTTGTAGATTAATTTGAGGAAAAATTCTTTTGACAATTCTAAAGTATCTACGAGTATCATACCTGTCTCCATCTTTTAGATCTTTCTTTATGTCTTTCAGTGACGTTTTATAATTCATCATTTAGGTTTTTATTTGTTAGATTTATTTTTAGGTACTTTATGGAGTTTGATATTGTGAACAGAGTCCTTTTTTTCCACATCACATAATGTTGTATTTTATACTTGGTTACTGATGGTATATAGGAAGGGTACTGTTCTTAAAATTTTGTTTGGTTTATCTGGCCTTCTCACTCTTAACAGTACTAGCACTCCTTCAGTTGATTTCCTATGTAGACAAGCATATTATCTATAAAGAATGATAGGCTTATCTCTTGATTTCTAATAGTTATAATGCTTTATTTTTCTTAGCTTACTGCAGATTGGAATCTCTAGAATACTGTTGTCTAGTTTGAGACAGCAAACATCCTTGCTTTATTACTATTTTTAGTGGCTACCTTGCCAGTGTTTTACCATCAAGTGGCTTGTTGTTGGCTTCTGATTAGGAAGTTTCCTTTGAATATTAGCTTACTGAGGTTTTTTTCACCATCTCTTAGAGATCATATGGTTTTTATCCAGTTTTTTAATCTTTTAATGTAATATATTGTAGTAATAAATTTTTTTATATTGAACCATCCTTTTATAGGTCCTGCTTGGTCATAGTATGTCATTTTTTTAATGTACTGCTGGATTTGATCCCCTCATATTTTATTTAGGAGCGTGCATCTCTGTTAGTACGGGTAGTCCCCAACTTAGGAGGTATTCAACTTAGGATGAACCGCACTTACAACTGTCATTTTTTTTTTTTTTTGATGTATTATTGTTAGTAATATGTACTACATAAAATGTTGCAGCTCATAATTTTCTGATATTATCATTCTTAGATGTTCACTCACAGGTGTTCAATGTTATGATTTACTGTTCAAAACACTGCCATATAGCAGGCTATGAAAACTAAAAAAAAATGAGTTATCTGGCTTACCTCTGAACTGATTTATGATGGAGTAGTTGCAAGGGAACCCTGTCATAGGTTGGGGACTACCTGTAATTGAGAATAGCTTATGTTTATCTTTTTATTCTTTAGTTTTAGTGTTAGGGTTATCTAGCCTTTTACAATGAGTTGAAAAACTTACCATCTGTTTTTTTTTCTGTACTCTGGAATATTTACATACCATGTGAATATTCTGTTATTAGGAAGTTTGCTAGAACTTTCTCCCACAACCTTCTGAGCCAGTACCGTATGGGAGACTAAATCTTTGGCTGCCCTTTTTATTCCTTTAAATTCTGGATCATGGGTGTACAAAATTGAATTAATCATAATCTTGTGTTTAATGGCACATAGTTATCATTGGTCCATGCAAGGTCCTTGTTTTCTTTATTTTATAAATTTTTTCTACCTCATCCCTCATCTCTACTTCTATTTCATACCATGCTATGTGTATATACTCTATATGTCATTAATATTTGTATATCCTGGAAAAATATATAGTATCTTTTTGCATTTTTGAAAATTATATAAGTACTGTTTTGCTAAAAGAAACTAATTCTGCTTCTTTTCTCATTCAACACCTAGACTTATGTAAGTAATTTAAGTTATTCCTTCTCATTGATGCATAATGTTTCATTTTATGCATATCCACATTTTACTCATCTGTCTCCTAATGATAAATACTTAGTTGACTCCAGCAACTTGCTACTATCACCTAATATTTTCAGGGCTTTGTGAAGGTAATTAACTTCTCTATGTCTGTTTCCTCAACTGTAATGCCTGCAATCACGATACCTACTTAATAGGGTTGTTGTGAAAATTTAACATATACAATAGTGACTGACACATAGTAGTGTTCAGTATATGCTAATGAGGATTCTTTTGTGATGTTATTAATACTGTAAGTGTTTTGTGTATGATGAGAGATAGATATCCAAGTTTACTTTTTTCTATATAGTTAGCCAATTTTTCCAACATTATCTACCAAAAAATAGAACCTTTCTCACTGATTTATGATTTCACCTTTCTCATACTATTAAATATTAAAACGTGGGTCTATTTATGGACTCTCCATTCTGAATGTTGTTTTGTTGGTCCTGTGCCTGCAGTGCACTATTTTTGTTACCATGACTTTGTAGTATATTGTAACATCTAACAGAGTGAACCTACGGTCTTTAGTTTTCTTTTTTTTTTTTAATCGTTTCACTAATGAGGTGAATTAAATTGGTAGATTTTTTTAGGTTGAACCAGTTTTTTTTTTCTTCTAGTATGAAATCTCCTTGATCATGAAATATTTTATTTAATATGCTATAGGTATTGGTTAACGTTTTATTTAATTTATGTTTATAAGTGAAAGTTTATAAATTTCTCTCTTTCTACCTTCTTATCTGGAATCAAGTTGTAACTAAAGGATTAATATCAGGCTTAGGCTGATTTAGGCCTTCCTGGGAAATGTCCTCAGGATCTATTTTCTCACAATATCATTTCCTTGGAAACTGCAGAGTTAAGATAAATGTGGAATGTTTTCTCTCTCCTGTTTACTGTGAATCTCCTGATCTATGGAAATAAATCTAGTTTAGGAGATCTGTGAATTGGCTTATAGGACTTTGCCATGCGTGGCTAGCATGATATAAAAGATTGGTGAGAAGCCAAGGCAAAGGCTTTTCTGCATCTATGGTGACCCACACACACTTTGACTCACATGCCCCAGGTGGGTAAGGGTGAAGGGCAGAGAAGCAGTGTGCTCGAGTAGGTGCTGGGACTTTCAAATGAGTTGAAGGTGCTGTGCATGTTGTATTACCTGACCTGTATCCTTCTATAAAGTAAGCAAAGAGGATTTGCTGAAAGCAAAGAGGACTTGAAGCACTTACTGACGAATATCAAAGACTACAGCCTTCAGCATGGATTACACCTCAACATAAAGAAAACAGAAATCCTCACAACTTGATCAATAAACACAACATCATGACAAACGGAGAAAATACTGTAGTTGTCAAGGATTTTATATTACTTGGATCCACAATGCCCATGGAAGCAGCAGTCAAGAAATCAAATGACGTATTGCGTTGGGCGAATCTGCTGCAAAAGACCTCTTTAAAGTGTTAAAAAGCAAAGATGCCACTTTGAAGACTAAGGTGCTCGTGTCCCAAGCCATGATATTTTCAATCACTTCATATGCATGTGAAAGTTGGGCAGTGAATACGGAAGACTGAAGAAGAATTTATGCCTTTGAATTATGGTGTTGGTGAAGAATACTGAATATGCCATCAACTGCCAGAAGAACGAACAAGTCTGTTTTGGAAGAAATACAGCCAGAGTGCTTCTTGGAAGAGAGGATGGTGAGATTTCATCTCATGTGCTTTGAACATGTCATAAGGAGGGACTAGTCCCTGGAGAAGAACATAATGCTTGGTATGGTACAGAGGGTCAGCAAAAAAGAGGAAGACCCTCAATGAGATGGATTGACACAGTAGCTGCAACAGTGGGCTCAAACATACCAACGGTTGTGAGGATGGCGCAGGACCATCAGTGTTTCATTCTCTTATGCATCGGGTCGCTATGAGTCATAACTAACTGTACGGCACGTAACAACAACGTAAAGTAAGTAAACATAGTATTAGATTAAAGCCTATTATATTTTGTGAGTTTGGTTGCCTATTTGAACCCATGCACAAGGTTATAGTAGCCTCATAAAGTGAGTTGGGCAACTCTCTCTTTTCTCCCTCCTGTTTCCCTCCCTTCTTCCATCCCACCCTCTTTCAAAGTCTGACTTTGAATGGCTTGTGTACTGTATAATTGGCTCTGTGTTTCTTCAAAGTTTGCAGGTAATTGCTAATTTTCTAAATTTTTTTTAATGGTTATTGGTCTTTTTATCACTGGAGCCCTGGTGGCACAGTGGCGAAGAGCTCAGCTGCTAACCAAAAGGTTGGCAGTTCGAATCCACCAGCTGCTCCTTGAAAAACCTATGGGGCAGTTCTGCTCTGTCCTATAGGGTCACTATGAGTTGGAATCGACTTGACAGCAACAGATTTTGGTCTTTTCATGTTTTTTGTTTGTTCTTGTTTCAGTCTTGATGTTTTATATTTTCCCAGAAATGTATTCATTTTAGCTGTGTTTTCCAATGTAATGGCATATAATGGTTCATAATACTCCGTTATTATATAATTAATCTTGATTATTTCTGTAATTATGTCTACCTTTTTCATCTGTGTTTTATTTGTACTTTTTTCCTTTTTTGCTTAATCCTACCAGAAGTTTGTTTATACAGTTAGTATTTTCAAAGAACTAATTTTTATTTTGCTCATTTTGGGAGGTGGGTCAGTGCAACCCCTGTGCTCTCATCTAGCCTAGCTAAACAGGCACTCTTCCTGTCAGTCTTTTCCTGTTTTTTTCTGTTCTGTGGTGATATGGAACATGTTGACTGAACCTAGGGCAGAGTAGGAGAGGAAGGGGTACAACTAGAAAATTGTCTCCCAGTTGGTCCTGCATCCATGTTCTCACTCTTCTCACTCTGTACTGTCTTTGTGTTTCCATACGTTGATCTTAAGTTTTTCCTCCTCCAAGGGATTTCTCACATTTTTGGGTTAGATTCTGAGATCCATCCACCTCCTTCTCAGATGTTTGTAAAAATATGTTTGGGTTCAGGGCAGAGAGCCACTAATTTCTCCTTCAGCTTTACCTACTGAATTTATTTCAATGATCATAGTTTAATTTTACAAGATTTCCAGTTGACTTTCTAAAATGTATAGGATATTTCTAATATCTCTGAAAATATTAATTTTATAAACCAGTGATATTAATTTTGAAACTTTTTCTGTATGCACTATTAACTGTTTCTCAATGGGTAGTTATTGATTAAGATTGTGTGTCTTTTTTATGGTAATGTTTTTTCCAAAAATATTCATTGTTTGCTTTTGTATTTGCAAATATCTTTTTGCCTGCCTACTATGTTACATAGTATTTCTGATGACTGTGGGGGGAAAACCAGTTAGATTTGCTGCCGTAGAAGTGTGGAAATAGCTTGTAGTCTGAGAATAAAGTCTCCTCACCTCTCCTGGGGGGTTGGCAGCTATCTGGAGCACTGCTCTGCCTGTGTGGCTTTAGTGTCCACACTCCCTGCTCTAACCTTGCAATATATACCACAGCTGCATAGTGTTTTCCACAAACTGTGAGAGAGTATCAGCGGCAGAGTAGCCTGCCCGCTCAGAATACAGCATTCCAATGAACCACGCAGACAAATACTCCAAGACCTTCTTTCCTTCTTGATCCATTGATTCTTCTGCATTGTATTATGCATGATCTCCTCCAGTTTTGTTTTTCTTCATAGATTTGATCCTGTCTGATTTTTAAACTTAAACTTTTTGATCCACCAATTTCATGTGCCATCTTGATCCCATCTCTCAGTTGTTTCTTTGGGCATTTTTATTTTATGTTTAGACAGCAAAAATGGCCTCAGTAACTTTTTTCTCCTCTCAAGGGAGAGTTGAATAGCTTCATAATGCACCTTTAACTCTTCTTCATTTTAAGGATTTCTGCTTTTTCTATACACAGACCTATTCTGACCTTCCTTTTATTAAGTTGGTCAGGGACAGAAGTTTTTCAGGAAATTCTCGTATCATTTTTATTTGTTTGATAACTGTGGAAGCTGAGAGCAAGTCTTAAATGGCTCAGCAATTGATGATAATAATTAGTAATAACCATTTCTTGAATGTTTACTGTGTTCCAAGCACTACCTTAGATGCTTTATATTCCTGTGGTAGAAATTACTAGCTCACTATTTCAGTATCTGTTCTCACTCAGGAAAAAAGATTACATTTCCCAGCCTCCTTTGTAGCTGTTGTGGCCAGTGATTCTGATTTGGACAATTAATTAGGTGTAGGCGGAAATGTTGTGTTAATCTTCCTTGAAGGCTGCTTAAAGGAGTCAGGTGAGAAACAGGGCATCATTTTTCTCCTCTTCCTCCAACATGCTGCATGGAATGAATATGTAATGGCTGGAGCTCCAGCAACTATTTTAGACTATCAAATAGCTTGAGGATGGAAGCAGAAATATACATGGCAGAGCAGAAATATAGAAAGCGTCTGAGTCTCTGGGACTTGTGGAGCAATCATACTAAGTCCTGGACTGCCAAACTCTGATTTCTTTTACACAAGATAATAAACCATTGTGGTTTAAACTACTATAATCTGGTCAAGGTTGAACCTAATCCTAACCAAATCAATACTTTATTTCTTTTAATTCTCACAATAACCCTGTTTTAGTCATTACTTAACTACAATGAACAGAATCCCCAACTCCTGACACTATGCCTGGCAGTCAGTAGGAACATAAATAATATTTGTCGATTAAACAATTTGTATTGTTTTTCTGTACCTTGAAAAGAAATAGTAAAGCCAAAAAACAGAGATTTATTGGTGGAGAATATGACAACAGCTTATCTGTGTTGAGTTTCAGGTAACTCATTTGATCAACCCAGAGATTATAATAAAAGTTTTGAGAAGAAATGAGAGTTTTGAGAGAAAGAAAGACTGAGCAAATAAAGAGAAGCAGAGAGATAAGGACTGAACTTTTAGACATTAGGAAGAGGTTAGGAAGAGAAAGAAACATAATGATGTAAGATACAGAATCACCTAGTGTCACAAAGGAGCCTTGGTGTCATAGTGGTTGAGTTTAGGCTGCTAATCAAAAGGTCAGCAGTTTGAAATCACCAGCTGCTCCTTGGAAGAAGCCCTATGAGGCAGTTCTACTCTGTTCTATAGGATCACTATAGGGTCTATAGGGTTGCTATGAGCCGGAATTGACTCGTCAGCAACGGGTTAGCATCACAGAAATCAAGACAAAGAGAAATTTTAAGAAGGGATATTTCAGTCAGTGATGTCAAATACTGTGAGATAATAACTTTTAAAAAGAAACATTTGAGTTTTTTCTTTTCCCCAGTCTTATTCAGGCTCACCTAGGATGCATTCCCATACAGGACTTTGCTTTGACACAAGATACAGCGAAGATTTTCAGAAATGGCTCACGAATTACAAGATGTATGTTATGTGATAATGGATTTTCTATATTTTTACAGTAAATTAATATATTAGATTTAATATTGGAAACTTTTTTTAGGGTTGTCAGATTTTGTGGCTGCTCAAGAAAAGAATTTTGCTGTACTACTGAACAGTTTGATTTTAGCTAAATGTTTTCGGTGTAAACTTTGGGAAAACTCTTTGCATGTATCCAAACAGTTGGAAAAAATCGGTAAGTACTGAATACAGGTAGACAATTTATCAGTGTTTGTAATTCATTATTTCACTGTTAAGAAAATTATTGTATGATGGTTATAGACTTCTAATGAAAACGTGTTTATAGGCACTGTATTTTATGTCTCTAGAAAATCTGATTTTTACTTGCTTCTGCTTAAAGGAATCCATTTGGAAGCAAATGATAGTGCATGAGAAACCTAATAAAAATTAATATTCTCATTTAAATTTTTTTCCCAAACCAAGATAGAAATTTTATTGTAGTAATTGAAAAAGTTACTGTGTGATGCTCTCTCTTCCACTTCCGTGACCAGTATTTTGTTTTAATCTCAGTGACAAGGCACAGAGCTAGCAGTTCCACCATTCTTAATTCAGTACAGAAAATTATGTCAGTTATTTGTATCTTAACTTTTTCCTCTTTTTTCAATAACAGTAGAGTATTATTACTGATCTTCATAGAGATTCTGTAGACAAAAGATTGTGCCTGGTTATTTCCTGTGTATTGGGAGCTAGCTCAGTCTATGCACTGGAAAACTCCATGAGATACCATTTACAAAGACTGAGATATGACTAAAGAACTTTAGAGTTTTCCAGTGTGGTGTCTTTGACTTTGTGACCCTACTTTATACCTCCTTCTTAGATAGCCAGAACTCCAAAAAGAGAGTTGTTATTCCAAGGTTTGTTAGTTTTACAATTTTTCACGCTTCTTGGATACATTAAAAATTATGTAATGAGTCTTTAAGGATTGTCTTTAAGACCTGTTATCCGTTAGATAACACAAGTCTCCAACTGTTTTGTGAAGAAGTCTTCTTTTTATTTCTGTGATGTTTGAAATCCATAGGGTGGCAGAGGACTGACCAGGAAGCCCTTGGAGCTGGGGTGAAGAAGGGGATTGGCTGGTGAAAGTAACATCAATTCAAATTCCTGATAGACAGGTTCCTATAGAACACCTGGGAAACCAAATGCCACACCCATCTAACAAAGGCAACAGTTCTGAATTGGAAAAGAGGTTCCCTGTAACATATAGAACATAGCAACTTACAGCAAAATTTTGAAATCAGGTTAAATGATTACTAATAAAATCTTCATTATACTTGAAAATGCCAGTATTTCTGACTGTCTAGAATATTGTCAGCCTGGGTATCAGTTGCATTCTATCCCTTCCAGATTGTCAAACACTAACATGTTCTTCACACATATACAGTACAACTTAATATAAAGAAGCAAATATTGTCTAGTGAAACTTACATAATATAAAAATGAAAAGATCAAAGCAAAAATACAAATCTAAATTCTTATTGACCGTCATAAAAAAGTAATCAGGTATAGGGAGCAGGATGACGGTGTGAACAGTCGCATGCTCTAATTCCCGCACAACAATTCTAGAAGAAAACAAGCAAAAATTGATGAAATCGATAATCTCAGATCTCTGCATGTTAGTTAAAGGGTTGGAGGACCAAAGTGAACAAGAAACACTGAATCAAGAAAAAGGTAATGTATGATAGTGGCAGAGTGGAGTGTCCTCACCCTACCCCCACCTTAGCTTAGCATCGCCATCTTGGGGTGGCTGCAGCTGGCACCTTCAGGCATGGAGTCCAGAGTTGGAGCAGCACAGAGGACACAGAGTGGACTGGAGGTACTGAATATTCATTTCTGGGATGGAATGGCACAGTGGGCACATTGTGGACTAGGCTGTCTGAGCAGTGAAGCCAGGGATGAAGAGGCTCTGGGAGCACAAACTAGGCTGGAACACACAGCTGGCAGACGTGGGACAGAACAGCATGGTGAGTTCAGCATGAGCTGGAACCATCTTGAATACCTGGAGGAAGCAGTGTGGGGAGTGCAGCATGGGCCAGACTTTGTGAGTAATCAGGCCTGGGAGAGGGCCATGGTGAATGCAGTGTGGGCGGGATGCCCAAGTGAGCAGACCTTAGAAAGGACAGCATGATAAGCGCAGAGCAGCATGGAATTTCCGTAAGTCCCAGGAAAGAACAACATGGTAAATATAGTGTGGGCCAGACTTTATGAGCAGTCAGGCCTAGGACAGAGAGACATGGTGAATATAGCACAGGCCAGAACTCCTGAGCAGGCAGACAGACTAGGGACAGGGTCGTATGGCAAGAGGAGTGGAAACCAGAATCCCAGTAAATCCCAGAATAAAACATCATGGTTAGCACAGCACAAACCTGAATTCCTGAACAGTGAGGACATATGGTAAATTGGCAACAGCTGCCGCTTTTGGTGTGGGCCTCTGAGGCTGGTGCTGTACAGCTGACGTCCCTGGGAGGGGAAACTTGTGGTGAGTCTTTGACAGCTGCAGCTCTGGGAAGGGGGAGAGTCTAGGGCCAGAGCTGCATGTCCTGTGTTCACAGGGGGAATTATTTGAGATGAGCAATCGAAGACAGCCAGTAATCCCAAATGGGGGGAGGGGAGACACTGGAGGGGCATAGCCACTGCCTATGAGGGGGGAGTCTGGTGCCAGAGTAACATAGACAGTGTCCCCAGTATGTGGTGCTGAAGCAACAACAGGTGCTACAAGCCATAGAGTTTGGTGCTACAGTGGCACTGCCAGCACCCCCAATCAGGGAACTAGAAGTGAAGCAGTGATGGCCAGTGCCCACGGTCAGGGAAACCAATAAAGAAAGGAAGCAGAGAATCACAACCTTCAATAAAATAATAACAATGATAAAATGAAAGAAGAGCAAACCCTAAGGAAAGGGAAGAATCTAATCTCCAGTGCTACCACAGTAAAATAGTTTAATGTTCCTAACACAACAAATAATCACAAAGCATATGCAGAGGCAGGAAAGAATGGCCCAAGCAAAAGACCAAAGGAAGGGGACAGAAACCATTCCCAAGGAAGAACAGGTATGGAATTACTAGACTAAGACTTTAAAGCAACAGTAGTAAGAATACTCAAAGAGTTAAATGAAAATACAAAAAAGCAAAAGGAAATTGGGGAAAAGATACAAGAGCAAACAAGTATTTCAATAAAGAGAAATTAAAAAAAAACATATTGGTAGTGAAAAGTACAATAACAGAAATGAACAACTATTTGGAAGGGCTTAACAGCAGTTTGTATTGGCAGAAGAATCAGTGAACTTGAAGATAGAGTAATTGAAACGATGCAATCCAGGGAGCAAAAAGAAAAAAGAATAATGAGCAAAGCTTAAAGGATCTGTGGGACACCATCAAGCAGAATAATGTACACATTATGTGAGTCCCAGAAGGAGAAAAGAGAAAGAAACAAAAGGAATTTTTGAAGAAATGATGGCTGAAAATTTCCCAAGTCTGCTGATAGACAGAAGTTTACATATCCAAGAAGCTCAATGAACTCCAGGTAGGATAAATCCAAACTAGCTGCACCAAAGCGTATTATAATCAAACTCTCAAAAACCAAGGAAAAAGAATATTGAGGGCAGCACGAGAGATGCAAAGTACCACATATATAAAAACAAATATTCTTTCATTTTGAAAAAATAAATATGAACAATTGAAGAATGCCACAACCCAAATAATCCAACTAGAAACTATTTTTGAAAATCTTAAAAATTAGTTATTTAACTGAATCTTAAATTTTTTCTAATACAGTTGTTAAATATATAGATTTAGTTTAAAATGAGTTGTTTAAAAATTGCTATTTGATTAATTTTCCACAGGTATAACATTGTCAAATGCAATGGTAAATGCAGGTTTGACTTCCTTTAAAAAAATAGAAGAAACAGATGCAAGGGAACTTGAACTGGTATTTAATATTCATTTATTCTTAATGTTACCTGAATTCTATCTAAATTCTAAAGCTTACCTTTTATACCTTTGTTTCTATTCAAAAATTTCCTTCTCATAGTCATAAATATTTTAACTTACTGAAGTTTTGGGTGATGAGCATTATTAAAACTACTGCTTCTAAAAGATATTTTACTAAAATGATCTTTAGTATTGTGGTAAAAATAGAATGATATAAATGTTTTTAGATTTTAAATAGACATCCTCCTTTTGGAACCCAGATAAAAGAAACTGTGATGCATCTACCAAAATATGAACTTGAAGTGGAACAGGTAAATGTTTTGTTTTTTAAGTGTTTTTATTGTTTCTTCAGGAATAAAGCTATCCATAGCTAGGCTTGGAGCTGAGTATGAGTAATAAGGTTACCTTTTAACACTTTTTATGTCTATCCTTTTTTAAAGGTTGCAAGATACAGTGATACCATGGCAGAAATATTAGTAACCATTGTGTTAAGAAACTTTGAACAGCTACAAACTAAAAGAACAGCACCAGATTCTCACCATGTTACCTTGATAATAGGCGATGCAGATAATCAAGTGGTTTTTAAGCACAAAATTATGTAAGTGTGAAATTTCAAGTATTATATTTCTAACCATATACTGTAAAAGAACAATTCCACTGAAAAAAAGAGAAATAAGATCACTATAGAATCAATTAAATCACATTTTCTTGAGACTATGATGGGATAGTTTCTCTGTTTGTCAAAGGATGTATTACATAGATTTAACATGGGGTCTGTTGTTTTAGATTGTTATATTTAGTACTTCAATGAACAAAGTGTAAAATCTATCACCATGATCTGAAACAAGTGAATAGATGACCCTTAGGAGTAGTTGTAGTCCACCACTGCTGAACTTTCCTATTTTGCTGCCTTTTTCCAGTCATTTATGGCCTTGGTACTCTTTGGGTGCAATCTTCTTTTTACTTACTTCAAAATATCTTCTATTTCCAAATTAAAATCTAATAGATTACACTAGCTATATTGTAGGATCTAGACAATCAGACCAAATATATAAAGAAGCTACCTTCCCTTATAGGTAATTTTCTAGCATGACATTCTGTCATTTTACTTCAGCTTTTCTTCTAATACTATTATTTTCTCTCAGGAATAATATTATGAGCAAATTGCAAGGATATCAGTTACAGCAGTAGTTAATATTTTTTGAGCACTTAGTAGGTAGCAGTTATTGAATTGTTTAATCTTTGCGTAGGTACTGTCATTATCCACATTTTGTAGAGGAGGAAATTGAGTCAAAGAGAATTTAATCAGTATGCCCAAGGTCATATAGCTAGTTGATAGCCAAATCTAGATTTGAACCCAAGCATTCTGACTCCAGAGCTTATCCTCCTAGCCATATTACTGTACTAGCAAATTCAAGAATGGCAGTAACTCTGAAACAGGAATCTCCTAATTGCTGCCAGTACCTTCCAAAAACATCACATGAAAGTTTCCTAAATGTACATAAGTGACCCACAGGAAGGTAACGCATTCACTGGCAACTCCTCTCCTGCAACTAGCCATGACAAAATTACAGAGAATGTGCCATTGTACGAATGTTTGTTCTTCTGTGACTACTAAGTGTAGCGACAGCTCCGACTGTATGAGACTAAAATAAATTCAGTCATAATTGGTCTCTGGTTTGTTTGTGATATTATTAGATACAAACTTGTTCATAGGAATTGTAAAGGTAGTATTAAAGTTATTCTCACAAATACACGTAATTTATCTATACCAAAAAACCAATCTCATTGCCGTCGAGTCCATTCCGACTCATAGCAACCCTATAGAACAAAGTAGAAATGCCCCATAGGGTTTCCAAGGAGCGGCTGATGGATTCAAATTGCTGACCTTTTTGGTTAGCAGCCGTAGCACTTAACCACTACATGACCAGGGCCAGTTTAAATTGGTGGCGATTTGGGGGCAATTTCATTGGTTAGTGATGGCAGCTATATAATCCAAGTAGGCTTGAAATGTGTCAGTGCAACTGAGAATCATCTGTAGGATCAATATGCGGTTAAGAAAATTAAGATTGAGAAAACTCCATTGATACTCCATTTCTATCTCCTCAGAATTTGAGGAAAAGCAGTTTTTAGTCAACTGATAATTACTATCGGAAAGGACCTATCTTAGGAACAATCTGCCCTTAAAAATTAATATTTCATTTAGTGTTTGGATCGGTTTTTAAATGCTGCATTGCTATTTTTCAGCGATTCTGTTTTGCTAAAAACTGGAAATTGGACTAAAAAGATTGATGTGAAGAGAACTCTTAAATCTGAAGATCTTAGCATAAATCTCATTAGTTCTGAATATGGTAAGTTAATTGAAGTAATGAAGACATGAATGTATAATAGCATTTAAAAATTAGTTCCTTTATTCTGAAACAGAAAAATGATATATAAAAATAATGTGTTTGAATAATATAAATAAACTTTAAAGGATGTTTCATGTATTTAGATATGTAAAAGATAGCATGGACCAGGATAACATGATTAAAATTTTACCTGTGCATTTATACCAGATATTTTATTTTCCAAAATAGTTAAATTTTAGTTATTGTAGGGACATTGATTTTTATGATGATAGATGTATAAATTTTGGTTTGTTATATTTTTTAACCTTTTATTAAATTTTAATTTCCTGGGCTTCTGTAACTCTTTAGTTCAAAAAGTAACAACAATATAAGAGATATAAAAATAAATTATCTCATATGGATGATTTAAATATGCACTTTTACAATATATTTTTCTTTTTCCAGTTGGACTTGATATTCAACAAAAATTTACAGTCTTTTACTTAGGACCCAAACGATTTGGAAATCAAGTAATTATGGAAAGAAAATCAGAAACAGAGATTTCCCATTCTAAACGTTCGGATAGATCTGTAGCAGGACCCAATAAAGGTAAATAGCTACATTAATTCCTATTTTGCATTAAAGCAAAGATACAGCTAGAGAGAAGTATCAGTGTTTTATAGCACTGCTTCACTCAGATTGTTGATGCTCTAGAACTAGACATTTAGGTTTCATAACAATTGCATTAATAAAATATAGTAGGAATTCTCTTTAGGGTTAATATTTGTCAGAGTAGGGTAACGTGGGGCACAAATTATTCGACTAGTTTTTTGATAAACATTTTCTCTTTTCCATACCCATTTCATTCTTATGACCACTGCCAGGGGGAGAGCAAGTGATAACAAGAATCTATGGATTTGATAAGGCAAACCAGGGTGATGATGAATTTTAAAAAACTTTTTTTTTACTATGGGAATTTTCAGACATACACAGAAGTAGACAGAAGTATATAAGCACGTGAAAAGATGCCTATCATCATCATTAGTCAATAGGGAAATGCAAATCAAACCACAATGAGATACCACTTCACACCCACTAAACCAAAATCAAACCCATTGCTGTGGAGTCGATTCCGACTCTTAGTGACCCTGTAGGTGAAAGTAGAACTGCCCCATAAGATTTCCAAGGAGCAGCTGGTGGATTTGAACTGCCAACCCTTTGGTTAGCAGCTGAGCGCTTAACTACTGCACCACCAGGGCTCCTCAACACCCATTAGGATGGCTTTAATCAAAAAGGCAGACGCTAACAAGTGTTGTGAGGATGTGGAGAAATGGAACCCTCATACATTGCTAGTGAGAATGTAAAATGGTACAACTGCTTTGGAAAACAGTTTGACAGTTCCTCAAAAAGTTAAACATTACCATATGACCCAGCAATTCCACTCCTAGGTATATATCCTATAGGATTGAAAACACATGTTCACATAAAGACTTGTACATGAATGTTCATAGCACCATTGTTCATAATAACCAAAAACAAGAAACAGCCCAGTGTCTGTCTGCTGATGAATAGATAAACAAAATGTGGTATATTCAAACAATAGAATATTATTCAGCCATAAAAAAGAGTAAAGTATTGATATATGCTACAGCATGGATGAACTTTAAAAGCATTATGCTAAGTGATAGAAGCTAGTCACAAAAGGCCAGATACTGTATGACTCCACTTATTGTATGATTCCATTTCAATTTGCCAACCCTTACTATACATATTGATCTTACAGATGATTTCCTACACAAATGTCTAGGACAGGCAAATCCGTAAAGACAGGAAGTAGATTAGTAGCAGTTACCAAGGGCTGAGGGACATGGGAAGTGACTGTTAATAGGTACAGGGTATCATTTTGGGATTATGACAATATTCTGGAATGCATGGAGTTGCCATGAGTCAGAATCAACTCAACGGCAACTAGTTTTGTTTTTTGGTGTCTCTGTTTGTTGGCTTGTTTTTTGATTATTGCACAACCTTGTGAATATAGCAAAAAAAAAAACCACCCCAACCCTGAATTGTACACTTTAGAAGAGTGAATTTTATGGTATGAATTATACTTCAGTAAAATAATTTGAAATCAATTGTATTACTACCTGCCAACCAATATAGAGATAGAAATTGTAATTGTTAAAACACCACTTACAACAGCATCACAAACCTCATATACCTAGGAATATAGCTAACAAAAGATGTTCAAGACCATTACATGAAAACTAAAAATCTTTATTAAGAGGAAATTAGGAAAACATAAATTAATGGAGAGATAGCTCATTTCCAAAAAATTAAAAATTATAAAGATGTTAGTTATTCCCAAATTAGTTAATATTTAGGTTCAGTGCAATCTCATCCCAGCAGGATGTTTGTTTTTGTTTCTTTCTGAAACAAAAAGTTGATTCTAAAATTCATATAAGAATTCCAAAGAACAAGAATAGCCAAGGCAAACTTAAGATAGTGTCAAGTAGGCATAAGGATAGACATCCTGACCATTGGAATTGAAAACAGGATACATATATATGTGTGTGTGTGTGTATGACAAAGGTGACACTGCCACAGTGGAGAAAGACAGTCTTTTCAATAATTGGTACTAGACCAATTGGATGTCCATATTGAAAAAAATTTATCTTAACCCCAACCTTATACTCTACACAAAATTTATATCCAAATAGATAGCTGATTTAAATGTAAAAGGAAAACAATAAAATTTTAGAGGAAAACAAAGGTCTTCATGACTTTGGAATAGGTAGATGTGTTAAACAGGACACCAAAAGTGCTAACTATAAAAATGTGATAAATTTGACTATGTAAAAATTAAGAACTTCTGTTCTTCAAAAGACACCATTAAGAGAGTGAAAAGCAACGTACAGAATAAGAGAAGAAATTTGCAATACATTTATCTGACAAAGAACTATTTATACATAATATGTAAAGAATCTCCTATGTCTATAAGAAAAAGACAACTTATTAGAAAAATAGGAAACAGATTGAACAGACACTTCAAAATAGAGGCTGTCCAAACTTCAAGAACATAAGAAACGGTGTTCAACTTCATTAGACATCAAGGGAATGTGAGTTAACCTACAACGAGATACTACTATACAACCATCAAAAGTACTGAAATGGGAAATAAAATACTAGATATTGATAAGGATGTGTAATAACCAGTACTCTCATTCATTAATGGTACAGGGAAATTGGTACAACTGCATTGGAAAACTAACAGTATCTAAAGCTTAACATATGTATCTATCCTGTGATCTAGCAATTCCTTTCCTAGGTATACACCCAACAGAAGTGTGTACGTATGTTCATCAAAAGATATTCTAGTAGTACTAGAATGTTCATCATACTACTGTCATATTACCATAAGCTGGAAACCAACCAAATGTTCATCAGCAGTTCAGTGAATAAATAAATTGTAGTCTATTGACTGACCTGGTGGAATTCTGTAGGGGTTGGCAAACTTTTTCTTGAAGGGTAAGATAGTAAATATTTTAGGCTTGTAGGACATATGGTCTTTCTTGTAACTATGAAACTCTGTCTTTGAAAATGGAAGACAGAAAGCAGCCATGGACAATATGTAAATAAATAAGTATGGCTGCATTCCAGTAAAATGTTATTTACAAAAATAGGTTATTGGCCCACGGACCAATTTGCCAACCCTTACTATAAAGCAACAGGTAACATGCAAGCCACCAAAATATGACAAACTGACAGAAGCATGGTGGCTTTCGTGTTGTTGTAATGCTGGAAGCTATGCCACCAGTATTTCAAATGCCAGCAGGGTCACCCATGATAGACAGGTTTTAGCTGAGCTTCCAGACTAAGACAGACAAGGAAGAAGGACTTGGTGATCTACTTCTGATAAAACTGACCGGTGAAAACCTTATGAATAGCAGCAAAACATTGTCTCATATTGTGCCAAAAGATGAGCCCCTCAGGTTGGAAGGCACTCAAAATATGAATGGGGGGGAGCTGCCTCCTTAAAGTAGAGTTGACCTTAATGACATGGATGGAGTCAAGCTTTTGGGACCTTCATTTGCTGACGTGGCACGACTCAAAATAAGAACAAACAATTGCAAACATCTGTTAATAATGGGAATGTGGAATCCATGCAGTATGAATCTAGGAAAATTGAAGTCATCAGAAATGAAATGGAATGCATAAAGATTGATATCCTAGAAATTAGAGAGCTGAAATGGACTGGTATTGGCCATTTTGAATCAGACAATCATATGGTCTACTATGCCAGAAATGACAAATTGAAGAAGAATGGCGTCGTCAAAAAGAACATATGAAGATCTGTCCTGAAGTACAATGCTGTCAGTGATAGGATAATATCCATATGCCTACTAGGAAGACCAGTTAATACAACTATTATTCAAATTTACGCACCAAACACCAAGGCCAAAGATGAAAAAACTGAAAATTTTTTACCAACTTCTGCAGTCTAAAATTGTATCAAACATGCAATCAAGATGCATTGATAATTACTGGTGATTGGAATGTGAAAGTTGGAAACAAAGAAGAAGGATCCGTAGTTGAAATATATGGCCTTTGTGATAGAAACAATGCCAGAGATCAGATCACATGATAGAATTTTGCAAGACCAATGACTTATTCATTGCAAATATCTTTTTTTCTGCAAAACAAATGGTGACTATACACCTAGACCTCACTGAATAGAAAAAACAGGAATCAAATCAACTGCATTTGTGGAAGGAGACAATGGAAAAGCTCAATATCATCAGTCAGAACAAAGCCAGGGGCCAACTGCAGAACAGACCATCAGTTGCTCACATGCAAGTTCAAGTTGAAGCTGAAGAAAATTAAAATAAGTCCATGAGAACCAAAATACTACTTTGAGTATATCCAACTGGAGTTTGGAGACCATCTCAAGAATAGATTTGACACATTGAACGCTAATGACCGAAGACCAGATGAGCTGTGGAATGACATCAAGGACTTTATACATGACAAAAGCAAAAGGTCTTTAAAAAAAAACAGGAAAGAAAGAAAAGACCAAAATGTATGTCAGAAGAGACTCTGAAACGTGCTTTTGAACTTAGAGTAGCTAAAGCGAAAGGAAGAAATGATAAAGTAAAAGAGCTAAACAGAAGATTTCAAAGGATGGCTCAAGAAGACAAAGTAAAATACTATAATGACATGTACAAAGACCTGAAGTTAGAAAACCAAAAGGGAAGAACACACTGCATCTATCAAGCTCAAAGAACTGAAGAAAAAATTCAAGCCTCAAGTTGCAATAGTGCAGGATTCTATGGGCAAAATGTTGAACGACACAGGAAGCATCAAAAGAAGATGGAAGGAATTCACAGTCACTGTACCAAAAAGAAATGGTCAGTGTTCAACCATTTTAGGAGGTAGCATATGATCAAGAACTGATTGTACTGAAGGAAGAAGTCCAAGCTGCACTGAAGGCATTGGCAAAAAGCAAGGCTCTGGAATTGATGGAATACCAATTGAGATATTTCAGTAAACGGATGCAGCACTGGAGGTGCTCACTCATCTATGCCAAGGAGTTTGGAAGAGAGCTACCCAGC